CATTACATTACACCACAAACACAACACGACTAAAACCGAACTTATTACACAATACCACACCACGACCAGCTCACTCTGCACACACGCAATACCACAAGCAGGCTCCAAACACATGCACAATACTCTTTCCTGGCACTTTTGTCTCCTGGTATCCATTTATAGAGACACCAGAGACATGTTGCAAGGAAACACAGTGCAAGCATGTTATTAAATTTGCTTGCACTGTGCAGAACAAATACAGGGCTTTTTTCTCATGCTAGAGCTCTTCAGCAGAGCTCTGCGCATGGTCTGCCCTGGAAGAGCATTGAACCAACATGCTCACTTTGAGAGGGGGCGTGTTTGTCATGAGTGACAATACACACCCTCTCTGCCCCGCCCCCTTCTTAATGGGCCGCTGTGATAAAAAAATGCCCGGGCCGAATTCTTTTCACAGTCCGGCCCTGACTCCGTGTCCCATTGTTCTCTCTCTCTATGTTCCCCTCCCCTCCGTGTCCCATTGTTCTCTCTCTCCCCCTCCACTCCCTGTGTCCCATTGTTCTTTCTCTCCTCCTCCCCTCCCTGTGTCCCATTGTTCTTTCTCTCCCATCTGTGTGCCCCATTGTTCCCTTTCTCCTCCCTCCCTGTGTACTATTTCTCCCTCTCTCCCCCCTCCAGGTGTCCTGCCCTCCATTTCTCCCTCCCTGTGTCCCTTACCCTCCATTTCTCCCCCCCTCCCTGTGTCCCATACCCTGTCTCTCTCCCCCCTCCCCTCCTGTACCTTACTGGCCGTGGTTCCCGGTCTGACAGGAAGTGTTATAACAGTGAGTATTTCCTGTCAGACTGCTCGGCCCGCTACACAGGCAGGAGAGAGCAGCACAGTGCTGCTCTCCCTTCCTGTCAGACCTCCGGGAACCGTGGACCCGGAAAAAAAAAACCCACAGGATAGAATTGGAATTAAGTATTATTTACTTATTTATTACTGGTATTTATATAGCGCCAGCATATTCCGTAGTGCTTTACAATATTATCGGAGGGACAGATTTAACAATAAATGAGACAATTACAAAAACGTACAGTAACAATAGGTTGAAGAGGACCCTGCTCAATAGTCTATAGATGGAACGTGATTTATTCTGGTTCCTAAAACCATGGCTGCCATCAGAGTGTGACAACTATGATGGTTGTCACGGGCCCGGCCGCTCTGTTCCCATGTGTAGCAGCGGAACTGCCCCCGGTGCAGCTGCACCGTAGCCCGCACACTGATAGGGCCCACCAGGTGGCTCAAGCATTTAGGGCCACTCGATCGGCTCTATATCTTCAGGAGCTTGGTCAGCACTGTGGCCGTGTAATAACGCAGCCAAGTCCCTTTAGAAAAAATTGGAGCCGCAAGTACTGCTGGGAGGAAGTGATGGCCGGTCACTTCCTACCAGCTCACTTTGCGCAGGAGGAGAGAGAGACAGGCTGCGAGGACGGGAGAGCCACCCTCCTGCAAAGAAAATTTACTCTGTGTGTGTATGTCAGTATGTATGTGTATATGTATGTGTCTGTGTGTGTGTGTGTGTGTGTATGTCAGTATGTATGTATGTGTGTGTGTGTGTGTGTGTGTGTGTATATATATATATTCCTGTGGTATTAACCTTGAGCAGTGTTAGGGGCCCCAAAGTTTCTTATGGCGGCCCTGCCTAAAACCACAACATCCCTTTTAACCCCTTAAGGAGACATGACATGTGTGACATGTCATGATTCCCTTTTATTCCAGAAGTTTGGTCCTTAAGGGGTTAAATTAAAGGGACACTATAGGCATCAAAACAACTATAGCTTAATGAGGCAGTGTTTGTGTATAGATTGTGCCAATGTAGTCTCACTGCTCAATTCTCTGCCATTTAGGAGTTAAATCACATTTGTTTCTGTTTATACAGCCCTAGGCACACCTCCCATGGCTGTGACTCACACAACCAGCATGAAAACAAAATGGTTTCATTTTCAATAAGACGTTAACTTATTTTAGAGTTTGTAACTCTTGCTCTGTATATTGAACTTTACATACAGGGGGCTCCTGCAGAGTCTATCAAGTGATTACAGAGCAGGAGAGAATAAATTCTAAATTAAACAGACTGTAAA